TTTTTTTTTTTTTTAAAGCAATTTATTGGATTTTACAATAGGAATAAATGTAATAAACAATATAACATTCGTCTTAACATAATTTCACATTTTCTTTGGACTTCCTCACATCTCCCGCTCCCACCTTCATCATTATAACATTTTGTCAGCAATTTATCATCTTATTTAAATTCTTATATCTCTTCGATATTTCATAATCTTAAAGTTCTCATAAAGAGTTAAACTTTCACAGTTTTTCTTATTTTCTTAAAAACTTCTAAGTTAAGTGGTGCTCAGTTATTTAGTCTAGCATCTTATTCAGCATTCAGTCAAATCACAATGTTTTTGTAGGTAGTTCTTAAATTTCTTCCAATCCTCCTCGATTCTCTCTTCTCCCAGGTCACGGATTCTGCCAGTCATTTCAGCCAGTTGCATATAGTCTATCAGTTGCATCTGCCATTCTTCCAGTGTGGGTAGATCTTGAGTTTTCCAATGTTTTGCGAGTAGTATCCTTGCTGCTGTTGTTGCATACATAAAAAATGTCTGGTCCTTCTTTGCCACCCCTTGGCTGACAATACCCAAAAGGAAAGCCTCTGGTTTCTTAGTGAAAGTATATTTAAATACCTTTTTCAATTCATTATAAATCATTTCCCAGAACGCCTTCACTTTAGGGCAGGTCCACCAGAGGTGAAAGAACGTTCCTTCACACTCTTTACATTTCCAGCACTTGTTATCAGACAGGTGGTAAATTTTTGCGAGTTTGACTGGGGTCATATACCATCTATAAATCATTTTCATTACATTTTCTTTCAAAGCATTACATGCAGTAAATTTCAATCCATTACTCCACAGCCTTTCCCAGTCCTCAAACATAATATTATGCCCAATATCCTGTGCCCACCTTATCATAGCCGATTTAACCATTTCATCTTGTGTATTCCATTCCAACAGCAAGTTATACATCCTTGAAAGTATCTTAATCTTTGGTTCTAACAATTCTGTTTCTAATTTCGATTTCTCCACCTGGAACCCTAGTTTCTTATCATTTTTAAAAACTTCTTTAATCTGAGCATAGTGTAACCAATCTCGCACTTTGTCTTTCATTTTCTCCAAACTCTGCAATTTCCAATTGTCTCCATCTTTTCTAGTATTTCCCAATATTTTGGCCATTTGGCCTCCATATTGGGTCTTTTTCGGGCCTTAGCTTCCAAAGGTGAAAGCCACCTTGGTGTTTTATTTTCCAGCAAGTCTTTATATTTTGTCCAGACATTAAACAGTGATTTTCTAACAATATGGTTCTTAAAGGCCTTATTTGCTTTAACTTTGTCATACCATAAATATGCATGCCATCCAAAAACATTGTTAAACCCCTCCAAATCTAACACATCAGTGTCTTCAAGAAGTAGCCAATCTTTTAGCCAGCAGAACGCTGCGGCTTCGTAATACAACTTTAAGTCCGGCAGGGCAAAGCCCCTCTTTGTTTTGCATCAGTTAGTATCTTAAACTTAATTCTGGGCTTTTTGCCCTGCCAGACAAACTTCGAAATGTCTCTCTGCCACTTCTGAAAGCACTCCATTTTGTCCAAAACCTGAAGTGTTTGAAATAAAAACAACATTCTTGGCAATACATTCATCTTAATCGCAGCAATTCGGCCTAACAAAGAAAGTTTCAATTTTGACCAACTGTCTAAGTCTCTCTTAATTTCTGTCCAACATTTTTCATAATTATCCTTAAATAGACTTAGATTTTTTGCTGTTATGTTTACCCCTAGGTATTTTACTTTTGAACCACATTAAGTTCCGTCTCATTCTGAAACCGTTCTGACTCTGTCTCAGTCAAATTTTTCCCCAAAACCTTGGTTTTCTGTTTGTTTAATTTAAATCCCGCCACCCGACCAAAGTCATTAATCAATTGTAATACTCTTTTCGTACTAGGCTCTGGCTTCTGCAAGGTCAAAACCAGGTCATCTGCAAAAGCTTTTAGTTTATATTGTTTCTGACCAACCTGAATTCCTTCCACCAACTGGTCCCCTCTAATCATGTTCAATAGCACTTCCAGGACCGAAATAAATAACAAAGGGAGATAGGGCAACCTTGTCGTGTCCCTTTTTCAATTTTGAACTCTTCTGTAACCACATTATTAACTATCAGTTTTGCTTTCTGTTCTGAATATATCGCCTCAATCCCATTCTCAAAACCCCGTCCCACTCCCATCTCTTTTAAATTTCCCATCATAAATTTCCAAGAAATGTTATCAAAGGCCTTCTCCGCATCTATAAAAATTAAAACTGCTTTTGTATTTATGTCAGTTTGGAGAAGTTCCAAGATATCAATAATGTTCCTTGTGTTAGCAAACAAATGTCTACCTGGGAGAAAACCGGCCTGGTCCTTATGAATTACTTCATTTAAAACTTTTTAAATCTACTTGCCAAAATATCTGCAAATATTTTGTAATCCACATTTAAAAGGGAGATGGGACGGTAGTTCTTCAGTTGTGTCTTTTCAGTTTCTGACTTTGGTATCAATGTGATAAACGCTTCCTTCCACGAATCCGGTGCCCTCTTCCCCTCCATAATTTCATTGCTAACCTCCATCAAGGGTTGTATCAAATAGTCTTTTAGTGTCTTGTAATACTTGGAGGTCAGCCCGTCTGGCCCTGGAGATTTGCCAAGTTGCATGTTCTGAATAGCTTGTTCAATCTCCTGTCGTGTTATTTTAGAGTTCAGGATTGTCCTATTTTCTTGTGACAGTTTAGATAATCCATTTTTGCCAAAAATTGTTTAATCTCGACTTCGTCTTGCGGCCCTTGGGTATATAGTTTTTAAAATATCTCTGGAAACACTTTCTAATGTCCACTGGATTCTGAATGTTTCTTCCATCGACCTCTAAATTTGTAACCGTATTTAATCTTTGTCTTCTCTTCAACTGCCAGGATAGCAGTTTTCCACATTTATTCGCCGACTCAAACGTTTTTGTTTCATTAATTTAATCTTCCATTCAATTTCCTGATTTATCAATTTAGAATATTGTGTTTGATACAGTTTAATTTCTCTCAGAGTTGGCTGTGACTTTGGATTCACTCTTAATTTCTTCTCTAATTCTTTTATTTTATCCAAAATCTTGTCTTTTTTCTCAGTTTGTGTTTTTTTCTTTACTACATTCTGGTGTATCAGGAATCCCCTCATGACAGCTTTGCTTGCGTCCCAGACGATTCTTTTTCCACCGAATTGTTCATGTTTATCTCGAAATAGTCTTTCAAAACTTTTTGGGCCTTCTTGGTAATTTCCTGATCTCTAAACAAATTGTCATTCATCTTCCATCTAAAGGATCCAGTTGGTAGTAGTGTCATATCCATCTTTACTGCATTGTGGTCAGAGCAGGTCTTTGGGCAGATTTCCACTTTTCTAACCCTAGGTGCCAGGCCTCTAGAGATCCATATTTGGTCGATTCTTGTCCAGGTCAGTTGGGCTTCAGAAAAGAATGTTCCTTCTCTACCTAGTGGGTTCTTTGTTCTCCAAATGTCGATCAAGTCCATATTGTCAGTCATTTCAAAAAAGGTTTTAGGTAGTCTGCCATCTTTTGTGATATTTTGACTTTGCGACTTGTCCATGTTAGTTGACACGACTCCGTTCATGTCTCCCATCATTATGATGTTGTTGTAATCCAGATGATCCAGCATTGTCCCCTGCAACTTCTTGTAAAATTCCGATTTCCCTTCATTGGGCGCATAGATTCCTAATATCAGCAGTTTCTCTCCTTGATATTGTATCTCAATAGCCAAAATCCTTCCATGTTCATCTTTAAATAGAAATTTAGGTGACAGGCTCTCTTTTGCATATATCACCACTCCTCTCTTCTTCACTTTGTCCGACGAAATAAATTCCTGGCCCAATCTTTTATTTATTAACACTTTTCTGTGGAGCCTCGTCACATGTGTTTCTTGTAAACAAATAATGTCCAATTGTTCTTTTTTTAATATATGAAATATTTTCTTCCTTTTCTCCGGAATATTGCAACCATTAATATTCCAGCTCAACAGTTGCAGAGACATCCTGGATCTATCTGGTTATTTCTCCCGGGGTGGTGTCTTCTCTGGATCTTCAAGTTCCCGAGGTGGAGGTATTGATGCTGGCTTTGCCTCAGGCCCGGAAGGTAGTTCAATTCCTTTATGTAGGTCCTCTCCGTATGTAGCCAGAAATTTATCTCTCTCTTCCAATGTTCTAATTTTAACCTTTCTCGCTCTAAAGGTAAAAGATAATCCTTGGGGAAATTCCCACCTGAATGGAATTGCGTTGCTCCTTAATAGTTTAGCAAGTTCAGAATAGGCGGCTCTAAGGTCCAACAGTTGTCTTGGGATATCTTTATATATCTCAATTCTTCTATCCAAAACCTCCAGTGACTTTTCGTAATGTAGACCCAAAATCTTATCCCTTTCCTCCTTCGATCTCAATGTAATCAAACAATCCCTGGGCCTCTCCTTCTTTATAAATCTTCCAAGTCTGAAAGCTGACACAATTTTAAAGTCCTTTTCTTCCAAATTCCAGAACTTGGAAAGTTCTTTGGTCAAAAACTCAGTTAGATTTCCTTCTTCTGCCTCTTGTAATGATCTAATCCTCAAATTATTCTCACGATTTCGCAGTTCTATCATAGAAAGATAAGTCTGATGTTCCCCAACTTGTTTAGTGAGTGGTCTTACCTCTTGCTCTAAATTTTCCAATTTTTGTCTGGTATCCTCAGCCAATTTTCGGTTTTCTACTGAGGCCTCCGTCAACTGTCCAATTGCTTGTGTATTCTGTCCCACCTGTGTAGTTAATTTGTTTAGACAATCTGTATTTTTATCAATCTTTGCTGATTGCGCATCTACTTTCTTGTCCAAAGCTTCCAATTTTTCAAAGATTTTTCTAGCACAGAAACAGATGCTCCTGAGGCCATATCTTCCAATTGTAACTGCTCTGCTTCACCCTCTCCCTCTTTTGCCTGTGGCAAGGCAGCTTCTTCAAGTTGTACTTCTGAGGGCAAAGTAGGCACAGATGATCTACGTGTCTGCGAGGCTGAGGTTAGAGTTGTTAGAGTTGTTTGTCTAACTCTTCCTCTTCTTCTTGTACCACTCATTCCAATGTTATCTATCAGTCAAGGTCACACTGAGTTTTTCCCACAGGAATAGAGAGGCCCAGAGCAAGCAGACAACAAGGGAATCGAAAGTAAATGTATTTGTAAAGTCACTGTTTTAATCCAATCCTCTAGAGGGAGCTTAAGATGTCTTTCAGAGTCTGATTTAATGTCCCAGAACCTTCCAATATAAGTATTAAGCAGAGTTTAAAAGTAATCACTTTGTTGCAGACAGTGCTTATTTGTCTCCAAAAAGAATGTTTCAAATTTAAAAGGTCTCAATACCCTCAGATTGTTGCAACTTCTAATATACAGTATCCAAGTCAAACACTGACAGCTCACTCTTACAGTGCTCAAGCAATCCTGACTCTGGGTTTCACCTTCCAATTTGTAATCCAATAAAGGGGGAAAGTCAAGTGCAAATAAAAGGTCCAAATCTTTAACTTGCTAGTTTTACTTTAAATTGTAAGTTCCATAGATGCTTGGCTGTGTAGAGTTTAAAATCTCTTTCTTTCAGCCTCCACTCCTCCGCCTTAGTTGCTTTTTTTTCAAGTTCAATGGCAGCGGAAGACGGACTTCCTGTTTCCACGTCTCTCCGCTTTCAGCCAAATTCAAGCCAAGTTAAACCTTCTCATTTAAAATTTGTAATTCCAAGTGATTCAGTCTTTACTCACGAATAAGTTGTTTTCTTCCAGGTCCGAATTTTAACAGGAAAAGGGATCAGCGCTCACCGGCAGCAGCAGCGCGGCTTCACTCCGCTGACTGTGAAACGGCTCACAGCGCCGCAGCCCCCCTCCACGCTCCGGAGCCCCTTACGAGGCTCCTTCTGCAGTTGGAGGGCTGCTCTTGGCGCCCGCCGAGCCTCAGGACCCCAGGCTCTTGCTGCCTGGGGTTTTCCTCGTTGGGTCTCCGCTTCGCCGTAGCGGACGACCCGATTTCAGCGGAGCTTCCTCTCCCGTCGGGAGAAGACCGCCATTACCGTTCGCGCCGCCCCCCGGAAGTCCTTTCTATCCTAAATTCCATGCCTGTGCTTTTTAATAGCTGAAAGAAACAGAAGTCAGCATTTCCATTGCATCCCACTTCAAACTTTCCAAAAATCAGGGACAGAAGTAGTGTAGTAGGTTCACATTGTTGGTACATTTAAACTGTGCTGGGCTTCTGAACCAACTAAGCTACTTTATTATATATAAGTGTTACAGAACATGGCTCCTCTCTCCTTCTTCGAGAGAACAGACTAAAAGCAATGGAAAAATAACAAATTTTCTCCCCCCACCCACTTGCTGGAGTATATGAAACTGTCTGCCACCAGAATGTCACTAATCCTACCTAACTTCATTAAGCTTCTATCTCAGTTAAACATATATGCTTTCCGAGTTGGAGTTCTTTGAGATGAAATTTGGTGGCATTTCATTATTTGCAAACAAAGCATTTTGCTGCCACTATCATGTGAAAATCAGGGCATAAGACATTTCTCAAAGGCTATGGTAAAATCAGGTATCATGAGTCATACTCTTGAGAGGACCTAGCACCCCCCTCGTCCCCCAATCTTTTATTTGTTTAACATATCAGTTTTACAAATGCATGATGAAATTTTTTTCTTAATATCCTTTAGTACCCTATCTGAAACAGAACATTCCAAACAAATGTATCCTGTCTTGACATAAATGCAAACGTAACCTGTCTCAGTAGCAGAATATCTTCTAAGTGTTTCTATGCCATCTACAGGCCATTCATAAAACTGAGTGGACTTACGACTTGCATATTATTTAATCAATCTGGCAACCAAATAACATTAGACATTGTTAGATGTCTCCATGCAAACATGGAGACTGTTTTGAACATCAATATCACTGTTTAAAGTATTCCTTCCCAATCCTAATAAGGATTAGCAGGTTTAGCATCAGAAGCAATCCCTATACAGGATTGCTTTCAAATGGCTTGGGGGTCGGATAACTCCATACCCTCCAACATTTACCCAATGAAAATAACAACATCCTAAGGAAAAGTGGAACGTTCTGGAATCAAATCAGAAACCGGGATGGCTTCTCTAAATCAGGGACTTCCCTAGAAAATAGGGAGACTTGGAGGGTCTGTTATTGCTTTGTCATTGAACCTAATTTTAGATTTGCTAGTAATGATGCAGATTGAGTCCAACAAAGTACATCCAGATAACCCGGGCCTGAATGTTCTCCATCCCTCCTTCTCTCCACACACACATGTTGAAGAAATTTAAAAGGGGTCCCTAGACTGGATGTATCCCTCCCAGAAACTCTCCAAAAAAGGATGCAGGCTCCAAGGGCAAAGATAAGCCTTTATTGAAATACAAATGTGCTTAGGGAAAGCCTCAAAAATAAAGAGGAGGCTTCAAAGAAGAACATCAAAAGAAATGTGTTTTTTTATTACACACGTGATTTCTATTCACCAGTAAAGGATTGCAGCAATCTTATTCAGGATGAAAACCAATGATTTCATCCTGAACCAATCAAAATCATTTGGCTTTTCAGATCAGCCTTCATCATAGTATCATGTGATTACAGATATCATTTTTCAACGTCTTTCTTTATTAAGACTTTGACTAATTTTCCTATTCATTAAATGTCTTCCAATATCCTCTTTCATCTGTCTACAAAACAAGATTAATCACAATTGCCACGCCTAGCCAATTCTCTTCTCATGCATACAATGGCCATCACAGATTCTAATAGTTTATTCTTTTCAGTTTTCTGACTGGGCATGTGCTACATACAGTACCTGAAAACAACCAGTTCTGTACTGTAAAAGGCAGGCGGCCACAGACCTTTTCAGTTCAGCCAGGCCATATGCTCGAAAGAAAATGGAATCATCAAAATGATACAGTTTTATGAAATGTTTGGTTTTTTCCAATCACACACATATGGAGGGAAGCTAAAAGTCTACCAATTAGCTGTTTGGCTGGGAATGGAGAGTGGGATGGGGTGGAGACTGAATCCGACTCACACTCCAGAACTGTCAGTTCCTGGGATTTCAGCCTTTGGGGAAAGCCCTGAGGTTTAAATTGGATTTGTTTGCATCATGTGGCTACTTTCTTCACTCCATTAGGACTTTCTTGCATACAATGGTACCTCAGGTTACAGACGCTTCAGGTTACAGACGCTTCAGGTTACAGACTCCGCTAACCCAGAAATAGTACCCCGGGTTAAGAACTTTGCTTCAGGATGAGAACAGAAGTCACGCAGACACAGCGTGGCAGCAGTGGGAGGCCCCATTAGCTAAAGTGGTGCTTCAGGTTAAGAACAATTTCAGGTTAAGAATGGACCTCCAGAACGAATTAAGTTCTTAACCCGAGGTACCACTGTATATCCAGTTTGACTAGTTTCTGTTCTTCCTGCAGTTGGTGGATTGAACTCCCATAAGCCCCCAGTCCACTACAGTAAAAAATGAAACCAAAGGGCTCAGACAAATGTTTGCTGAAATGTTAACATTCAGATTTGGCGGGCTGTATTGATGCCAGATTTCCTTCATGTATAGAAGCTGACAAGCTTCCTCACCCATCTACATTCTATCCCTATATCACATTGCAATTGTACTTTCACCATGCAAACTCTGTCCCCATTGCATGGACGGGCAATCATTAGCCTTAGCATCAGAAGCAGAAAAACCCTGGCAAGGTATAAGTTCAGAGCTCTGACAGGAGTGATTTGTCCATCCACCCACAGACTGCTGGGTAGGGAAGAAGGGGGAGAGGGGTAAAAGAATGAGGAAAGGGGGGGACAGGAGAAAGAGAGAAATGGGGATGCCCCACCAAATTTTGACTTTGACCCCACCTACTGCTGGCATCCAACTCCCAACAGATAACAGAACACAGAATTTGATAGGACAAGATTGCCTGCCTTTGCCTTCTTGGAGTATTATCAAAATAACTTGATTATTTCTTGTTGGCCAGTGGTGCAGGAATGGGAATATTTGGGAATATGGGAATCTTTTTCCAGTGCTGGACTAAATTCAGCTACCCCTCTTCTCAAAGGAGTTGTGTGTCCATGTCATAGCTTATTGCATGGACCACAATATCTAGACTGGGGCTCGGATTTATTTTTTTATAAAATCACAGGAAGTGTCAAAAACACAGGAGGGGGTGGAAATGACAATTTCAAGTAATGAGGAACAAATGCACATGTTTAATTAAAAACGAACAAGCAAACAAGCCCTCAGCTATCCTAAGGAGATGTACGGTCTTATTCCTAAAGATATTCATTCATCAACTTCAACAAGACTCCTGGCACTGCACATGCTTTAAGTATCTGCATTGAATTATCAATGAGAATTTCCGCAAGTGAGCTTGCATGGAGAGAATGAAGCAACAGGGTGTAAAATGTAAGAAGCCAGCTAATTATGTCCTCCAATATGTCCTAGATAAATGGGAGCAGTGTTGTATTGACAATATAGTTACAAATTTTCCTAAAATAAAACAAGGGCATTGAAGAAGAATGTGTCTGGTGTATCAACTATTAAAAGCATGGAAACTGGACATATTCTAATAAGAAGCCCACATGACATCCAAGTACTATTGGGAAACACCCTCTGGCCTAGATCCGAATGGACAGAGCACACACATACAGTAGACCCAATGCTGAGTTTGTGGGCAGATAGGATTAAGTGAGGTTGTCTGCCCACCACTGTTAATTGACCTCCTACTAACCAATGTCAACACCAGGAGTAGCTGGCATAGAGGGCATTCTGGAGGTAGGGATGGTCTGAGCCAGTCCAGGAGCTATTGGATCCTGAGCCAATCTCACTGGATCCTGAGGTGCCCTCATTTGATGGCATTAGATCTTATCAAAATGTCCTGCTTCTCCCACCTTTCACCATGGGTTCAATGAGTGGCAGCGCTGCAGCTGTGGCAGCGGCCCTGCCACTCTGCCAATCCCTGCTTCTGGGGGAGCGATTTGATTGGGACCATCATCCAAAGCAGCATGGGAGGCAGGGGTGCCAACTTGAATAAAATATTGGGGGGGGTGAGCAGGTAAGTCCCACCCTGCATAATCGATCATAAGATGCAGTGCACACACCATCTGAATGGCAGTGTCCATCAGCTTTGTGGAGGCCTGGACCCTCAAATATTTTATTGAGGGGGTTGAAGGGACCTTGGCCCCTGGGACTTGGCTCCTATGATGAAAGGCAATGCAGGGTGAAGGAGAAACTGATAGAAAATGCTATTCTAGCACAAGCGAAGGGGAGTGCCAGCTGGCAGGTTTAATAAGGCCTGGAACAATTCCCAGTGGGGCCCATGAGGCCATTTCCTACAAACCACATTGACCTGATCTACACATGATATAATATATTATTTTGCGAGCAGGGCTTCCTAACGGTCTTCAAAGGGGCTTGCTGTAGAAGATCAGCTGATCATCAGGCACCTTTGAACTCTGATAGCTGTCAGTCACTTGGTATCATTCTGGCACCAGGTGATTGACAGGGGGGTAGTCCTGTCCCATTGTCAAAATTGGTCCACAAGGGGTGTGCGGAGTAAGGATCTGGCCTGCTGAATGGATCCAGTTCCCTACTCCTGCTTTAGCAGGATCCTTTGCTGGATCCCAGCTCCCTCTGCGAATGAAAGATCCTCTTCCATTCATGGATGGCTAGCCAGGAGCTTAGCCTCTGTTCTTTTGATAATATTGAATGTAGTGAAAGCAAAAGTAGAGCATTGAATTTGAAATTTCACCTATAAGTGAAATTCAAGGTGTAAAATATGGCAAAATATTTGGAGAGTTCCAAGGGAAGCCAATAATTTTGATAAATCTCTTGGGAATAGCTGCATTCTGCACATCCAAAGACTATTTGTGTAGCAGCTGATCAGACTTGAAAAAACAATATGTTATCGGGTTGAGGAGACAGGCTCACACAACGCTCTAAATATATGCTCTGTTTGTCATAGCCTGACAGTCGAAACACAGTCAATTCCTATGTAATCATACACTGGTCACTTTCTGCCATTTTTCTGTTGTGGTTCGTTTGGAGTTTGTCGTCAACTTTAATAAAGTTTTGTTGCAATGAAATTTTGCTGATCATTCTTTTTTAGATTCCCAACTGAGCATATGGATTGAAATCTTACATTCAGTGCATAGTATGCAATAAACTACCACTGACAACTTTACCTCCTGCTTATACAGAGTAGTTTTAATCATGATGGTATTGAACCTGCAAAAAGCAATTAAGAGTTCTTTGCCTTTTAAGAATATCATTCAAATGGTAATAACATTATATCTGCCACAGGGATATCGTTGAAAATCACCCACCCACTCCATAGCAAAGGAACCAGATTCTGGCCATGACATGTAGAAGAATTCAGCCATACACATTGTGAGTTTAATGTCTCTTTGAGTGGAAGCCAAGAACATGGAATGAGAGTGTTGAGAGGGATTCTATTGTGAAATTAAAGCACAATACATACTTGGGGAGATTATTCTCATCGCAATGAGGCCATTTGGGGTTGCATCACTGTAGCAAATATAATATAATGTTAATATAACTTGCATAAGTGCCTATTAGCATGCTTTGGCACAAAAATGTTGAGTAAATAAGAATGTGACAGAATGGGTATATTCTGGGATAGCTCAGTTAGTAGAGCATGAGACTCTTAATATCAGGGTCACGGGTTAAAGGCCTGTGTTGGGCACAAGATTCTTCCATTGCAGGTGGTTGAGCTCAATGACCCTCACTTCCAACTTTGCAATTCTATTATTTTATGATTCTGAACAATGAAGTTGAGCCCAAGGACTAAACATCATAGGGCAACTCAATGGTGGTAAAAAAATGTAGTGATCTTCCAATGGGAAAACTGCAATTTTGAGGTTGCCAAGTCGAAGCAGATTGTCAATAGTGAAGCACCAGAGGCAGTGATAGGTCTTCACGTCCTTGGAGTTCTTCAGTGCAAAGTTGAGAGGTGTCTGGTGAAAAAAAGAGGGGGAAGAGTTTTTGTTTTTACTTTCTGGTGGTGTTTATGTTGTTCGTTCCTCCTAAATAGCTTTCATCCATATTAAAAATGAAGGTTTTTAAAAATAAATAAATAAATGAAGAAGAAGAAGGTGAACACTATCTTTTTGCTTGCTTGCCCTCCCTCCCACCCTTTGATAAAAAGGGAGAGATTGATGGGATGAGAGCTGGGGGGGGGGGCTTCGGGGGGATGGAGTGGAGAATACTTAGCTGGCTGCCTTCTGCTGATATGTGAGGATGGGTACTGTGTGAGAATGATGGGGAGTGTTGTTGTTGTTTTTGTACGAAATGCAATCGAATGCATGTCTACTCACAAACAAGCCCTACTGAATTCAATGAGGCTTGCTCCCAGAAAGTAAAAGTAAGTTTAGTTGAACTCAGTGGGGCTTATGCATGCAGAGATTCCACTTAGACCTCCGAGTGGGGAAGCAGATACAACTTGACTAGTCTTAAATTAGTTGAAAATATATAAAATTTATTATATGGAAATTTGTATTATATATTTTTTTATTAAATCTACTGCTTCCTTACATATTAAGGACCTCCACTGCTGCGGGGAGGCCCAGCAAAGCCCTCTGCTTCTGTGGGGAAGTTCAGCGCACCCTCTTCTGCCACTGGGAGGTATGGTGGGACCCTCTGCAGCCACAGGGACACCCGGCAAGGCCCTTTGCTGTGGTGGGGAAGTGTGGTACACTCTCCGCCGCTGCAGAGTGGTACAGAGGGACCCTCTGCCATCCAACAAAGCCCTCTGTCACTGCATATATATACCATGTTATTTAGATATTGTGATGTTTAGCTAGTAATATATCATGATGTTGAAAACCAGCCCAGCCCTAGAGAGCAGGACCTCTAATGGGCTTGGAACTGATTATGGAAGCAGTCTTCATTTAAAATCATCATATTAAGGGAGATTGGTTGGAAGTGATTATTTCAAATGTCTTGTTTTACTCATGCAAGTTATCACATGATGTTGCGGTGATAAAGTGAATAATGTAGGCATGTGAATTTCAACTAAGTCATATTGGTAGCAGGCGAAACACAAATGTCTGAGAAAACAGAGCGAGAAGATCCTTGGTGTTTAGGCTTCAATAATAATAATAATAATGTTGTCTAGGACCAAGCAAGCATTGTGTGGTTATCAAATTCAAAGATGGATTTCTATATGCTTCTGTATATCAGCAAACATTGGTGATGCCATCTATAATGAACCATATTACAAATCTTTTTGAATGGATTACCACATTTTAGAAGCATTACATTCTGAATAATCTTTCTATGAAATCACATCATTGTTCTTCACAGTAGTTCACCAAAATGTTAAGAAGCAAAGAAAATAGGAAATGTAAAATGTATGTCTGGAAAGCTTTTAAATTAGATTCCTTTGAAAAGTAATGGAGACCTTTGTGTTATCAAACTCAATGCACCTCTGAACAGGGGGAAAAACAATCAGATATGCCAGAAGATAAACAGAAATGTCTTAATAACTTAAAAGGTTCCCAAAGGGTTTTTATTCTGGAGAGATATATAGGGTCTTATGTTTAGACTAGTTTGTAAAACACGGCAGGTTTTCACACAACTTTTTCAACAAAACTCAACTTAGCTGCAAGTGGATGTTTTGAAGTGTAATTGAAACTAATTAGTATGCTCTTTTGTTCAGCAAAGACATGAATTGCAAATTCGGGGACATTATTTAAATCTATTCAGCTGAGAGAAACCATGGGCAGGTCTGGGGATTCAGTAGCAATGTTGTATACCTTGGAGACCACATGTCCCAGCATGCTCAGCAGTACTTTAAGCAGAAAGCACTTTAGGACATATGATTCCCAGTGTGTGTGATGTCTCTACTGAGTACTTGAAAATTATAGGTCTCAAGGCTAGAAAGGGTACCACTGAAACATTTAAGATATCAGGGACGAACAGAAGCCTTGATAAGAGACTTGTATGTCTGTGCCACAACCAGGTAGATTTTTGGCGAGGGAATTGAGGCAGGAGGTTCACAAGGATGTAGGAGCTGTTGGGTTTGGGAAGGTGGAAGGGTGAGAGTTATAGGCCTCACCTCACCATATTTATGAGCACAATGAAGTTTCTGAATTTAAAATTTAGCTTAGAAATATAATATATTTTCAGATTGAGCGAAATCAATCTTCCACTGCACAGGAATAGGCATTGCTGCCGAATGAAACAGTTGATCCACATAATGCATTAGTATCAGTATATGACATGAAGTAAAACAGTTGTTACATCTGCTAAACCCCTTGGGTCTCATTAGGCAGAGAAATGTGTTCCAAGCCGGTGAATATATTACTTTTCTCTCTCCTCTCCCGCCCAGCCAATTCAAATGATACATTTACATTATTAACTCTTCTTCGAATGATGATTTCCTCGTTTCATATAACTGCTATAAGGTCTTGATTTTCTTTTTGTATTAAGACAAAATGTCCAAGCCTGACTTTCTAGTTCAACAGAAGTTGAACTCTTCAGTTTCAAGATTTCATTATCTATCTGATTCAATGACATTTTCGACAGTCCTGTTTCTATCACATGAATCATATAATATTGAACTGGAAGGGCACCTGGGTGTCATCTGGTCCAACCACCTGCAATGCAGGAATCTCAACTAAAGCATCCTTGGCAGATGGCCATCAAACCTATGCATCCTTATCTGTGTAATAAGCTTGAGAACAACATTGCCTCAATATTTTGCTTTCCAACTTTCTTTATAGATGTCTGATTGTTTTTTTCTAAACAAACAAGCAAACAAAGAAACAAAACTCAGAGTCTGACCTTCCTGCTCAGTAATGGGGTGAGGGAGGGAATGAGCTTGAAAATGAACTAGGAATCATTCAAAGGTCTACCCCAAAATGAAATTAATTTACCCTTAGTTCACTCATTAATTATGGGAAGTGAAAGTAATTACTTTAATTATTTTTATTGAACTTCGTTCAGCCAAACTAGTTCATTCCAAGTACCCAGATAGATGGATGAAAAAACATTTTAAATCTGCTACCTTTTTTTGGGGGGGGGTGGACAGACTGACGCCCAATTTCAGGTTCAGGTTCAGAACATGTTTGATGATGATCGCACTATACAGTGGTACCTCAGTTTACGAACTTAATCCGTTCTGGAAGTCCGTTCTTAAACAGAAACCATTCTTAAACCGAGCCGCACTTCACCTAATGAGGCCTTCCACTGCCGGTGCTCTTCCACCGTTCAGATTCTGTTCTTAGACCGAGGTAAAGTTCTCAAACCAAGACACTATTTCCGGTTTTGCAGAGTTTGTAAACCAAATCGTTCTTAAACCAGACTGTTCTTAAACCGACATACCACCGTATGAATTTTCTGTAATAGGGAAAGGAGAAGAACGATTAAAGGCTGCTTTTCTTCCTAAGACTGAGTGGTTCATTTATGTAGCTTATCTAAGACTTCATTCAATAATCTCAGAATAACAGTTATACTGTTGTCCTTGTAAAAAATGCAATCCATTTAACAGTACAGTCCCTCACATGTCTATACAAGTAAACCCCATTGAATTCAATATATCTTATTCCCAGAAGAATAAGTATGTGATTGCTGCCTACATATAATTGACTGAATAATCTGTTAAAAGGCATATGATTCATCAATTACGTTTATTTAATCAACTGCACTCTCTCTCTATCTCTCTCTCTCGTGTGTATGTGATTTGCATTCAATTTCATCAGCATATATTTTTTTTTAGCATTTTGATTTAACAGCAAAATTTACCCTCTAAGCACCTATGTATAAATACACAAACAGCAAGCGTCATGCTTGATTGCTAGCCATATGGCTGCCAGCTTTTTAATGCAGAGGCATCTGCATTCTTAGACAAATGGGACCGTCTTGCAAACATAATTTGCCAAGTTTATTTCTCTTCATCCTCTCCCCCCCCCCCTTTCTGGCAATCATCATGGTTTTTGTGTTTGCGAGTTTCAGAACAATGTTTCTTAGACAAAAAGAGGCATATGGGAATAAATCTTTTGTTTTTTTAGAATTAACTTTTTTATTCAATTTCTTCAAGAACAAACTGCCGCTGTGATCAAAGGATTCAAAAATAGCAAACTTAAACAAAAAAAAATTACTACTCAACAAATATTGACTTGATTAGTTCTTCTAAGTCCTTAGCTTAGCCAAGCAACAAAGTTTGGGGGAAAAGGCATTCTGTCTTGAATTTTTACCTAGATTGGGTAAAAGCACCCAAATCTGTATAATCATATTTGCCTCAATCCAGCAAGAGCAATCAATGTGTAGAAACAGACTTTTATCTACTGATAACTTTTTAGCATTATCAAATCCTACTAAAATTACTTTCCCCCCGCCCCCTGAGAAAATTTATGAGATTTGACTTTTTTTCTCACTCTTCCCCCTAGAAAAAGAAGAGCAATCTGCAGACTTTTCTCCTAAGAAGCAGTAGTGAAGTGAATGGGGGGGTCAACAGACTGAAGATGAATCCTGCTACAATGGAGACAATACAGGTAAGTCATTTGCACGACTGAGGACTGGAGAGTCTGATTCTTCTAGATGGGGTTCTGCTGCCTCTGAAGAAACAGGTACACAGTTTAGGGGTGCTCTTGGAACCATCTCAGCCCATGAAGGTCTACTTAGCCTCTGTGGCAAAGGCATATATTTTATGTGAACAACCCAGAGACCTTTGGGTATAGGGCG